GGGGGGGGGGGGGGGGGGGGGGGAGAAGGGGAAGGAGGCCAACAGACGCGCTGACTTGGTCGCAAAGGGGAAAGGTCACGTGGGCTCGCCTGTGGTCGATCTCGATGAGAGCAATGGTAGTCAGAAGGAAACGGCCGGATCAAATTCGTGCGTAGAGCACGGCTGTAGTTAGGGGCAGTCTGAAAGACTTAAATAAGTCAACGCTAGCAGGAACAGCCACCACACTACTATGATGATGGAGACGAGGAAGTTCCCGAAACGTCAGCATGGGTGCTATTTGGCCCTTTGACACTTTGCACTTCAATAGGCATATGCAGGTGAATAAATGATGAAATCGATATGTTGCTGACGAAGGCGGATATTTTCAGACTGACCTTTTGGGTAAGATGTGGTTATATAGTCTCACCTGATGGACACAATACTGTTGAGGTTGGGGTCAGGGGTTATGGTTAGGGGTCATGGGTTAGGGATAGGGTTAGGGTTAGCGCAATTATTTCTCAACCACTCAAAGTGCAACTGCGCATTCCCAATAAGTTTTATTTTGCATACAGCTACTTGACCTCGTGGCCTGGGCGTTCTCCGGCCCCACCTGTAAAAAACCATATTACCAACGGTCCCCTATTGCTGGTGACTGGGGTTTGTTTCTTGAGGTGCGGGTACATAACCACATTTGACCACCTTTTGCCTTCAAAACGCTACAGAGAAGCCAGAAAGGGTCATCTAAGTCACCACCTACCACGTTGACAAAGTTATGGAGAATTGGGAAATGTGAGGGCTGTTAATCATGTAGGCATTTAATTTTGTAGGCAGACTCAGGGGCTAGACTGGCACGCGAACAAGACCGTAGTTCAGCAATGCCTACTTAAGTGAATACAGTAGCGAGTCTTGTATATCAAACCTGCCTGGTTGCAGACCACGCCTGGTATACTCTCAGGAGAAGTTCCTTCTACCGATGAACACACACGAGTCCCCTATGCTCGCTTGCCTACAAATGCGATTTCCTACGAGTCGATGTTCTCCCAGCGTACTCCGAGGCAAATAAAAGCATGCTGCCTAATAAGTCGTCTGCTTAAAGGGGTTTTCAATCGCAGTTTGTCATTAGAATTGAGTTTCTTCTTCTTGCATTACCGAGAGTCGGCGGAGTGCGTTTTGAAAGGTGTTCTTAACAGGCTACTAATGATGCTTTACATTTCAGCGAAGAGATCTTTATTTTCTTTACTTATATGCCGTTTTCGTCCACCGTGCTCATATTGTTGAATATCCGCTATAGGTAGGTCCGACTAATTTTCAGAATGCCATTTCCGTTTTCCGTCGCCAACTGTTATCCCCTTGCGCTTGGAGGCATTCAGTGTACAATACCTACCTGCTTTTTGAAAGTCGGCCTTGTCCAATTTATGAGTCGAAAAAAATGATTTGCAGGTGCCTCAGTGTTTTCTGTATAAACATTCTTCAGACATATTTTTATTTAATTAAAATACACACTGGACACATGAAATGGTGTCGGTTTGCGAGTGATTGGCAATCATTAGTAAAATTCGACACATTTCATGAGTTAGGTCACATACTGTACGTTGCCAAAGGTGTCCTTAACAGGCAACTAATGCTGCTTTACATTTTAGCAGAGAGATCTTTACTTTCTTTACTTATGCATATGCCGTTTTCGTCTACAGTACTGAAATAAGCATAAATTTTCCATAGAGAACTCCGACTAGTTTTTTTTGAAAATGCTCATTAACGACTCTCCCGTCACCTCTTCTGAACCTAATTTCCATTTGCCCACAAAGACGGTGGAAGCTCCCCTACCAAATGACAAAACAAAGAAAAGTGTCAGTTTCTCGAGGACACTCAGTATATACTTATTTACACCTTGGGGCTATCGGTGTGTGATAATAATTAATTATCTACTAACCTCACTGTCTCGTTTTCCGCCGCAAACTGTTATCCAATTGCGGTTGGAGGCATTCAGTGCACAATACCTCCCTGCTTCTTAGAAGTCGGCCTTGTTCAGTTTATGAGTAGAAAAATGGACTTTCAGGTGCCTCAGTGTTTTCTGTATAAACATTCTTCATCTAAATGCATATCCTTTCGTGGTGGAACTCCCCTGAATGCGATTTTTTTATAGTTCCAACGCAAAGTCAGAATTACAGTCACTTACGTTGCCTTCATTTCCGTAAGCACAAAGTACTTAGACAGTCACGAAGACATATTAGCAGATAGTACTGATTGACATGTTTCGTATCCGAACTTCGTACCATTTGTGGCCGAAATGCGGTACTCATGTGGCAGCATAGGAAAGGGACGTCATTTGAAGCGCCTCATGGACCATTAAGTGCTACTGAATTAAATACAGTAGACACGTTTAATGGAATCACTTTACTAAATGGTTTGACCAACAGGCTCAGTGGGCTGCATTTCGACGGAACCTTGAATGGACACGCAGACGGGTGGAATCTCTCGTAGTAGTCCCATACCGTCATGCAAAACCGGCCTTCAAATATCACTTGCTTTAGGAGTACGGTAAATCAATCTGGCGAGTACTTAGCGGGCCACTATAGAGACCGACCTGGCTGACTCAGGTCGGACTGAAATGATGCATGATTCTGAAAACAACTAGAATATATCTTACTGGGCGTGACCTTAAGGTGACCTTAAGGTAAAACCTGCGTGGCAGGAAAGGTCGAGGCGGAGTCAAACCAAGTAATGGCTGCGAGACAGTTGTTTGCATCTTGACTTTGAATAACTTCCTCCTGCGAATTAATGCTGATCAATATTGAGGGACGCTGAGTGTTTGTCTAGAAAGGGCGGGAAAGTATGAAATCGCGTGAGAAGTTTAGGTTCCACGAGCCTTAAAGAAGAATGATCTTTAATACTCGGTATTTGACCATCCTCGACAGAATAGAGGACACTGAGTAGCTTGGAGGTATATTTCTTGAACAGGATTATTTCGTCCCCACCTCCAGTTCTCTGCTTCGAGTGAGATAGAAGGGCCGAACGTAAAATACCATTGTATCGAAACAAACGATATGGAACCCAGACATAATCCACGGCAGCGTGAAAACCCGTGTACTAAGAAGCAGGTTCCGTGTCTTTTTCTCAAAGTGTCCACGGTATAATTAGCCCCCCACGTAAAATTAGCCCCAAACTATTCCTCACATTCAATAGAGTCAGTGACTGATCTCATGAAATTCTGCAATGGCTTATGATTAGGAAGGGTTACCTAAGTGGGTTTGTCAAATCGATTATCGTGAGACATAGTTCTATGAAATTTCCGACGCGCCAGGATGGTGACTTTTGAATAAACTTTTCATGGCCGCCTACAAAAACCGCATTCGACAAAAAATGACTACTTAAGTAGTGTAAACTGTTCGTAACGACTTTTGGAAGTATAAAATTTTCAGAAAAAGACTTGTCCAGTAGTTGTGGATTGATGAAGAGAATTGTGCGATTTTCCGGAACATGGCCCGAAGGCAAAGAGCGATTGTGGCATTTGTGAGGGACTATTACTATGTCGGTGTATGCTTGTTAAACTAGTGGTTGTGTTCGCGTCATTGGTTACCAGGCCTTCGGCGCGAATGTTCATAAGTGGCGTGATGGCTATTTAGCCGACCATGAGCAAGAGCATGGTGAATGCCCTTGCAACAACCAAACCGGCAGTTGGTGTGACAATTATCAATTTCCCTACACCGGATTACCTACCCAAAGCAGTGCTAATCCGCGGGCTTCTGGCGAAGTTTTCTGCAGCAGGCTGCGTTCACATTGTCGGTTTCCCACCGTGTGGCGGCATAGCAGTCGTCTCCTACACAGATTACAGTTCCCCGTAACATCCCATCCCCTTTGATTCTGTCTCTGATTGGGAGCTTCAGCCCAGAGCCGAAACATGTGGCCAGTAAAGTCCTTTCCCACCGGCCAAGTACACCTCGACTGAGTTACTTCCTGTATCTCGTCCTCTCACATGTGTCGGCGGATTCCTGGGTCCTTTATTAGCAAAACAGAAGACAAAATTTAAAAAAGTCATCATAGTTTGTGACTACTCTTCCGGCTGATGACGGGTATTCAATGAGAGAGAATTAAAAACCAGTTGGGTTATCATATGTGTTGGTAACCGTGGACAGGCCTGGAGAGAGGGAGGAGGGGGTGGCGTTCTAGGTGATAACAAGCGTAGACCGACCAAAGGAGCCAGTTGATGAGGATGATGGGCATGGGCGACGGCAATTAAAAACTCGGTCGGCAAGGCCCTCTACCGAGCCTGCCAGCCTTTATAAATTCTTAAATTCCTTGCATAATTTTGTCGATGTAGAAGTCAAAATGTACTTGCGAAACAATGGAAAGAAAACAATTTGAGAGGATTGGTTTATGAGATTAGCACGCCAAGGAAAATTCGCTAGCCGACTTATTAGCTTGCGTTCCCCCATAGGTTCGGGGGCTGTTGGAATCCCGACTGGATGGGACTAAATACTACTACTACTACTACTACTACTACTACTACTACTACTACTACTACTACTACTACTACTACTACTACTACTACTACTACTACTACTACTACTACTACTACTACTACTACTACTACTACTACTACTACTACCACCACCACCACCACCACCACCACCACCACCACCATCATCATCATCATCATCATCATCATCATCATCATCACCTTCTTCTTCCTCCACTTTTTGCAGTTTCCTTATTCTGATTCAAATTGCTCGCAACTGCTATTCCTGAGCACTTGCAGAAATCAAAAAATTAGCACTTGAACCGGCATCAAAAGAATGCTGTGGTAAAGTCAGTTAGTATTTTAAGACGCACTTCATTCCGTCTAAGCGGTGGTTGCGATGGGGAATATGCGATGGTAGAGGGGTGCTCACCGACCGTTTTACCGAACTCGTTCGTCCCGTTGTGCCTCAGGCCCAATTAGCAGCTGCAAAGTGGCGCATGATACAGGGAGAATGGTATTACTGACAAAGAAAAGGGACCAGTGAGCGCTCCTCTACCATCGTACATTCCCGCTCACAGCCGGTAGGACAACGGCTCAGTGGTTAAAGGGTTGGACTTTTAACTAACTGGTCGCGAGTTCGAGCTCCAGGTGTTCCACACTTGGGGGTTGGGTATGACTGGCTGACAACGGCTAATGAGCCAGAAATGGCCATTCCAGTCTCCTTTGTCGGTAATAACATTCTGCCAAAACACTTCTTAATTACACGAATGTGGTAGTCATCTGGATAGTTTTAGATTGATTACGTAGGAAATCCCGCTTGGGCAGTCAGCTTACTGTGTCAGATTTGGTATAATGCATATTTTCAGCAGGCTGTTCAGCACGCAGTTCACTTGAGTGTCAATTCCCCCCTCCTTCTTTCCTATGTTGCCTTTGTAAGTCAACGTTTTCTTTGATCAGTCTGTGCATAGTGAACGATGGCCTTGCTGTTTGGGATTGATTTTCCGTGCAGTTTCAACTCGCTGTTGCGTGTATTATGCAGCGGTGGTTTGCAGATGAAAAGCTTTCGTGAAATGTGCAAAACATCTTCTACACTCTAGGAGGGAAGTTTTACTGAAATTCTCTGATTTCACACTAACAAATCGATGTCGATAGGTTTGGCGATTAGGTGAAAGTACCAGAAGGATATTGCTGTGTATGCCTGTTTTAACTTCACATCAGGGAAATAATCTTCAAATCTCTCAAGTAAGGTATTTTGGCCATTTTAAGTGGAAAAATCGTTCCATGCTCACACGTATCCAAAGTCCAGGTGGATGAAAAATTTCATGTTTTAAAGTCACCGCAGGTGCGCAAGGTGCATTCGACCAAAGTAACCTACTATACTGCTGCTTTCGTTAGCTTCGGTAATGGTTCAGATAGAACTACGTACAGTGCGTGACCCATCTGATGAAATTTTGGCCGAAATTCTGAAATGCTTTTTCGAGTAGGAAGGATTACTTAGGTGGGGTTGTAAGGTTGCTTATCAAGCAACATACTCGCATAGTATTTCGGACTCACTAAGATGTCGGCTTTTTAATGCACTTCATTTCGACCTCCTATAGAAGCCACACTCGGTAAAAAATGACTACTTAAGTAACATGTATTTTTCACATTGGCTTTCGATGATCTTATAAATTCAAATATTTTTATGGATAACAGGCACAAAAGAATGCGTTTTTTACTTGTTTGGTAGAAAATAAAATTGTCTCTACATTTTATACCCAAAGAAAACGTATATTTAGGTTCTGAAAAAGTTTCCAAATCCCTTAATAATATTGGGCCAGATCAGTTGCTCCATTACTATTTAGCGATTCCATTCTATAAGGTGCACGCCTTCCACACAAGAAAAATCATACATTTCTCTATGCCGTATTGAGTTCACAAAATTCTGCAATGAATGCGAGCAATGTTGTACATTTCACGAGGAGCATTGGTAAACGGAGATGTGCGACGCTGTACGTAAGGACATCGCACGGTCTTAAAAATCTCATAACTAGGAACTTTTAAAAACCTAAATACACGTTTTCTTTGGGTATTAAATGTAAAGACAATGTTATTTTCTGCCAAGCAAGTAAAAGAAAGCATATTTTTTGCGTGCTTTTCATAAAAAATATTTGAATACATGGGACCATCGAAAATCAATGGGGAAAATACATGCTACGTAAGTAGTCATTTTTTACCGCGTGTGGCTTTTATAGGAGGTCGAAATGAATTGCATTCAAAAGACGACATCCTAGCGAGTCCGAAATACTATGCGAGTATGTTGCTTGATAAGCAACCTTACAACCCCACCTAAGTAATCCTTCCTAATCGAAAACGCATTTCAGAATTTCGGCCAAAATTTCATCAGATCAGTCACGCACTGAACTGAATCAAATATTTGAAAGATCACGCGAAGAAACTGTTTGAATTCAGTGTGATGATAAATAAGGAAGTGAGGAGAGTATTTTTTATACGTGAGGACTATATTCAAGGATCTGCTTCTACCTGAACACACAAACGAGTGGATCACATAGGCGCTTTTTGACAAATCGGTCATTTTTACGTGTCATTTACAAACTCTGAGAACCGTATTCATTGTGATTTCATAGAGGATAGTCTGATGCATCGTTAACGATGCTCATAGAAACAGCATGTGTTCAAAAAACAGACCTAAAACCGGGACAACTTCGAGAACACTTCCGCCCCTCCAGTATCCAGATCAAAGCTCTGAAGTTGGGCACGAAACATTTTCGGGGATCCCAACAACCCGCCAATCCGATGTGGTTGCTCTTTAGTTTAGACACGGGAATTAGGGCACTGTCATACTAGGGGCGGCTCTTTGCCAACCTCCAAAGGGCACCTATCCGAATGTCCCGCTCCTAACCCTAACAATGACCATAACCCCCTCTGGCATTGAGCGCAATGCCATCCGCTGCGTTGAGGTTGCATACTCCCGTGACTTACCGTCTTTAATTCGCTTCAGATAAATGGAAGAGCGAATATGCAAACCGCCTTCTATACTCTAGGAGGAAGGTTTTACTGAAATTCACTGACTTCACACTAGCAAACCCGTGTCAGTGGATCCGGCATCATGTACCTATTAGTCTGTTGGCTATTGGGCGAAAACTGATTCAGATTGGAAAAGTTTAGAGATCCGGGAAGATTATAAGAAGAAGAAAATTGGCTCTCCGGAACAGGTTTATTTAACTGCTGACGTTTCAAAGAGCTGGGTCGGCTCTTCATTGTCAAAGCGTAAACTGCACCTAATCGGTCAGAAAGTTAACTTAAAGTGGCAAGCTGTGTTGGCCGGCCTCATGCTGATCGATTTTTCTCTCTCCTCACGCTGCGTCGGAATGCTAGGAGGATATTGCACTAACGCCTGCCCCGACTTCCTGTCCGACTAAAGGGGGGGGGGAGAGGGGCATAACAACGAGCAATCCCACATGGCGGTAGGTAGCGAACGGGGAGAAACACCCGTTCTTCCAGCCGCTCCCCCCTCCCCCCCCGCAAACAGGGTCCTCTTATGCTGGCGTCAGGTCTTACCAACGCGAACAGTGGCCACCGTTGGCAGTAACAGACTGGTATGCGCTGGGCGGCAAACTGTTCACTCTGAAAACCAAGTACCGGGCTGCGGTTCGCCTAGGCCAACCTTTTGCCTCAAAGCCTCCCATGCACACACACGCGTGGGGAGTGTGCGTTCTCCCTCGCTCTCCCCCCGTACACCAGCTCCACCCAAAGATTTATGAGGTGCCTAC